TCCAGTCTACAACATACTGAGTTTTAGGCCAGCCAGGCATGCATAGTGAGGGTGGATCCCTGTGAGTTTTAGGCCAATCCAGTCTACAACATACTGAGTTTTAGGCCAGCCAGGCATGCATAGTGACACCTGTCACCAAAAAAAAAAAAAAAAAAAAAAAAAAAAGGGGGGTGGGCGAAGCTAGGCAAGCAAGGCTTGAGCCTTGAAATACCAATGTTTAGGGAATGAGACGATTAAAGTAAAAATTTACAGAGCACTATAGGACCAGAAGCTGGAGAGGTAGGAGGAGAGTCTGACTTCTGAAAGCAGCATGAAGAAGAGCCTCAGGGATCCGCTTCAGGAAATGGTGATGAGGGACAGTATATCGATCACTAAGTAAAACATAACACTAAGTCGTTAGTGACTCTTTTGAGACAGTCTTGCATTTATAGCTCAGCTGGCCTAAGAGTTCCAGAAATCTTCCCACCTCAGCCTTTCAAGTCCAGGAGTTAAAGGTGTGAGCCACTACAGCTGGCTTAGTAATGACTTGATAAAGGCAGTTTTGTGGGGAGCAGTAGGAAGGACATAAAAGACAGTAAGTATATTTTCTAGAGCAACTTGGGCTGACTAGGTAAGGAAAGAAAGTATGTCCTTTGGAGGGGAGAGTAGTAGGATTAAGGGACACAACAAGAGTAAGGGCCAGTGAGGTGGCTCAGTGGATAAAGGGACTTGATTTGTAAGCCTGACCACCTCAGTAAGAAAGAAAAGAAACAGCAGGCCTGGGCATGTAGCTCAGTGGTAGAGTGCTTGCTTAGCATGCACAAGGCCCTGGGTTCAAACCTAGCACTGCAGAAGAAATAAAATTTAAAAAGCAGATTGTTAGAATACTGATGGGAATGATTTAATAGAGAAAAACTGATGAAGCAGAAAAGATGGCACACTCAGCAGAAAGGAAGGCTGGGATCTGGTCATAGGCAGAGGGGTGGCTATGGTAGAGGCTAAATTTTTGTATGTCTGGTGCCAGAGGGTGTCAGAAGAGGTGTGGGGTCATCTGGAACTGGGGTTATGGATAGTTGAGTCACCATGTATGTGGGTACTGGGCACTGAACTTGGGTCCTCTGCAAGAACAAAAAGTGCTCTTAACTACTGAGCTAACTCTCCAGCCCTCAGTATTTTGTCAGTGTTAGTTCAGTATGGATTATTTTATTATGTATTAGGTAAATTAATTAGCATCGTCAAACATGTTATTTCATTAGTACTTTTTCAAAGTAAATAGCAAATAAGTAAATAGCAGAGTACTTGTCTAGCATGCTTGAAGCTCTGAGTAATTTTCAGCACCACAGAAAACTAAGTGTGATGGTGCATACCTTTAATCCTGGTACTGGAGAAATGGAGGCAGGAGGATCAGAAATTCAGGGTCATTTTTGGGTATAGAGGGTTAGAACCCAGCAAGAGCTACATGAAACCCCACCTCAAAATTTTTTTAAAGTAATAACAATGTGGTTGCAGATAAGACATAAATGATCACATATAAATGCGTCAGTCGATTTAGGGCGCTGCTAATATAAGCAGTATTAGCAGTATGACTGGAAGCAGCGAGATCTGGGAGGTTGATAGATACTTTGGGACAAGAGATAGAGGTGAGAGAAGTAAGTAGCTGTGGAGGGGGAAGAAAGAACAGGTGTCAGTGAAGTTCAGGATACAGTGTGGCTCAGACTTGGTGGCTATCCTCTGGGAAGCTGTTTTGGAAGAGGTGGAAATATCAGGTAAGACCAGGGTTAGGACACAGATCTGGTTTGATGCAAAGAGAAGAGAGAGATGTGAGGCACAGCTGATTTCCTGGCCTTCACCTAGAACCTGGACTACTGGACATGCTGGGAAGTCTGATGAAATCTAGTGAAACAGATAACACTACAAGGTTGCCTGCCCTGGGATATAAAAACATGTGATTCCAGAGAAGGGCTGATACTGTGGTTATTACAAGTTCCTGGAGAAAATGATTGTGATTGCTTTGGGGGTGGTTGCAGATAAAGAAGGGAATGGGTAGGAGGTTTATGGGGTATGCAGCCAAGGGTGAAAGGCTAGGACCTAAAATGCTCTGACTGCTGAACCTCTGGTAGGCAGGGCTGGGAAGGCAGATGGCTAAGTGGTAGCAAAGCTGGAGATTAGCTTGGAACTTGTAAGGGAATTCTGGTCCAGGGTTAGGGGCAGGTTTGTGATTGCCATTTTCTGCACTCCCCTTAGGCAACAGGACCTGTACCGAATCCTGAAGGCCTATACCATCTACAGGCCTGACGAGGGCTACTGTCAGGCCCAGGCCCCAGTGGCTGCAGTGCTGCTCATGCACATGCCTGCTGAGGTCAGCATATGTGGACCTGGTTGGGGGGAGGGGTGAGAAGACCTTGGCATACCGTGGAGATGGGAGAGCTGTCTACTCCCTGCTTCTCAGGCCCCACCCCTGCCCCCTTGTTCTTGTCCTTCTTAGCAAGCCTTTTGGTGCCTGGTACAGATCTGCGACAAGTACCTCCCAGGTTACTACAGTGCAGGGCTGGTGAGTGTCTGGAGCTGGGTGCACCGGGGCTGTGACTTTCCCCAGGGCTGCCATAGGTCCTTGCCTTGCTTCATTTGTCCTTCTGTTCCTCTACCATTGAGGTTAAGATACCCTCTTAGGTTTGATTGTACCCTGAGGGGAACATAGCAAGCCAGACTCATTTCTCATGGCTCTTCCCACCACTTCTAGGAGGCCATTCAGTTGGATGGAGAAATCTTTTTTGCGCTCCTGCGTCGGGCTTCCCCTCTGGCGCATCGGCACCTTCGGCGGCAGCGCATTGACCCCGTGCTCTACATGACAGAATGGTTCATGTGCATCTTTGCCCGCACCCTCCCCTGGGCTTCAGTGCTGCGTGTCTGGGACATGTTTTTCTGTGAAGGTATTTCAGTGGCTGCCTAAACTGACAGGGGGCTAGGATTTGTCACTTTACTGGTAGCCCATGGACAAAAATATTGTTGGGCCTAGGCTTCATAATAAGCTGTCTGAAGGCAGGAAAAACAGGACCCATCTTGATTCAAGCCACCACCTAGAGTCTGCTTGCCCTCTAAAACAAACCCTGCAACCTATAGCAACTTTCTTCACCTGTGAGGCAAGCAGTAAACAGCAACAGGGACTGTCTTTCCTACATGAGACAGGTTGAGATCCTGGACCTGATCTCTCTCTTCACCCCTCTCTGACCCTGTAGGAGTTAAGATCATCTTCCGAGTGGCTCTGGTCTTGCTGCGACACACGTTGGGTTCTGTGGAAAAGCTGCGCTCCTGTCAAGGCATGTATGAAACCATGGAGCAGCTTCGAAACCTACCACAACAGTGTATGCAGGAGGACTTCCTGGTGCATGAGGTAGGCCTTGAGCCTCAGCACACCTTGATCCACTTCAGCCCATGCTCAAATCCATCTATACTCTGGCTCCCGTGTCTTCTGTCTAGGTAACCAACCTCCCAGTGACAGAAGCATTGATTGAGAGGGAGAATGCAACCCAGCTAAAGAAGTGGCGGGAAACTAGGGGAGAGCTGCAGTATCGGCCCTCACGGCGACTACATGGCTCCCGAGCTATCCATGAGGAGCGCAGGCGGCAGCAGCCACCCCTGGGCCCGTCCTCCAGCCTTCTCAGCCTCCCTAGTCTTAAGAGCAGAGGCCCTCGGGCAGCTGGAAGCGCTCCTTCCCCACCACCTCCTGTTCGCAGGGCTAGTGCTGGCCCTGTTGTCCCTGGAGCTGTAGTCACTGCTGAGGGACTGCATCCATCCCTTCCTTCACCTACTGGCAACAGCACCCCACTAGGCACCAGCAAGGAGACCCGGAGACAGGAGAAAGAGCGGCAGAAACAGGAGAAAGAGCGAGAGAAGGAGCGGCAGAGACAGGAGAAGGAACGGCAAAAATGGGAAAAAGAGCAAGAGAAGGAGCAGCAGAAGCAGGAGAAGGAGCGACAGAAGCAGGAGAAAAAGGGCCAAGGCCGGAAACTTTCCTTGCGTCGAAAGGCAGATGGGCCTCCAGCACCCCATGATGGCGAGGACAGGTCAGCTGCTGAAGCCCGGCAAGATGCTTACTTCTGACCTCTTGCTGGGTCTAGATGACATGGCCCTCTTCCTTTTCCCTCAGTCAGGAGCAGGCCTGGCAGGGGTATTCTTCCCAGCTCCCTTGGCAGGCTTCCCTTTTCTGAGGAAAGTGGCTTGATTCCCCTGACTCCTTGCCAGCTGCTGATCCCTACATGGCCAGGACAGCCACAGTGCATGGGACAGCTGTATTTCCTAGGGTAGCAGTGACCAAGTCTGGAGACTCTTTTGTCCAATTAGGCCCAGCTTGGGTCTCTGTCACTCCTACGAATTCCTTCTGGGGTGCTGTCTTAATTTGCCTTTTGTCACAGGGTGACTCTTGGCAATGGCAGTTAGCAGTTACAGATTCTTACACTCCAGTGGGCTTCCCTTAGATGGTGGAGCTAGGTTCCTTTTCTTGTCTTGGGGCCCTGCCTGTCACCCCACTGTCTTTCTGGGGGCCAAGGCTGTTTTTTTCTCTCCTGGATATCCTTGTGTTGTAATTATGTACAGAAGGTCAGGTTGGCCTGGGTGGGGTGCTCTGTTCTGTGTTTCACAGTGCTCCTGTACTCCAGTTTATTTAAGGGGACATGCAAGGAAATGCCCTCCATTTCCTTCCCATCTATGTCCTGCTCTCCCTCCTAACACACTTGCTTTGTATGCTCAGGCCTCTCTGCTGCCTCATCAGAAAGCCTGTCTTTCATTTTGTTCCTTTCCAGCCATCAAGCCCCTCTCTGAGTAAGGGTCTTCCCTTGAGTCCGGGGGGTGGAACCCAATGTTTACATTCTCTTCTGTCATGGTCCCATCCCAGTGGTGGTTTTTTGGCGCTTTGAGGAACCAGAAAAAGAACCTGCTGTTATATCTGGATCTGTCTCCTGCCTTGTTATTTAAAGAGGGCTTTGGGGTAAGGGAGTGGGAAGGGGGCAGGAAGAAAGTCTTAAGTCCCAATAGGTGCAGTCTGCTGATCTTGGCAGGTATATCCAGACCCTTGCTACATCTCTCATCAACAAGCATAGTGGTCCAGCTCCTGCTGCAGCTTTGCTTGGGGCCTCCTGGGACCCTCTGCACAGCTCAGAGTACTGAGAACATTCCAACTTGCTTGTGTACTCCTAGAAGCTAAAGGGAGGCTAAGCAGGGCTGTAAAGCCAGTCTTCAGATTGAGCTACTTGGTCAGCAGCTTGGTGCAGTTCCTGGTACTGGGCTTCTAGGGTGGACTGGCTGCCTTCAGTTCATCTCAGCAGGTGCACACAATCAATCATCCAGTTCTTGTTTTCTATGGCTAGCTTGTAGCCCCCCAGCCCTCCCCCTTGCTTTCTCCCCAGGGATCAGGATAGTAAAGGCATGGGGTTTGTGGTCCTAAGGTGGAGCTCCTCATGGCAGTTCAGCAGGATGAGGCTCAGGGGTGTGTGGTCTCCAGGTAGAAGAGGAAGTTCCCTCTGGGATGCACCATAGTGCCCAGAGCTGGTGTTTCAGGCATTCTGTAGCAAGATGCCCTCCTGGGCTAGGACCTGTGTTCTGTGCCCGTGGAAGAAACTGAGGACACAATTCCAAGTTTCATGGTGATTCAGAATGGAGAAAATCCTGCAAGAGAAAGGTGTGGTCCATCTGGCCGCCCTCATCCAGCTCTTGCAGGATCACCTGAGCTATCTAGCCTGGGGGGGAGGTGTTCTGGCTTTGAGTTGTTCTCAAGAGCTCCAGATCTAGACTTCACTAGACAGGAAGATCTCACCTGGCTCCACCTCTGCAGGAGCGGGATTCCATCACCTTAGCATTTTGCTGAGGGGTGGGGTAGACTTCACCTTGCAACTGGATGTACCCCAGAGTAGGGCATTATGGGCTTCTGGCTGGGTACTGCTCGGATGCCAATGCTACTTCCTGTTATAGTTCCCCTGCAGAAAGAAGGAATTGAATGGGAACAGACATGGGGCTGGGTCCTAAAAGGAGCTAGATTTGGAAAGTGCCTAAGTATTGACAGCCAGAAACAGGACTCAGGAAAAGCAAGAATTTTTTTTTTTTTTTTTTAAAGAGACATCTCACGTTGTATCCCCGATTGGCCTCAATCTCGCGACAATCAGTCCTGCTTATTTCCCGAGCGCTGGGACTGTGTCAAGCTTGGAAAGCAGGGTTTCTATTGAATTCCGTTGGGCGCAAAGAGCCCTATATAGAGAGTCAGACTGGAGCCCACAGCTTCTGCTCGGCCTTTGTCCCTCCATCCAGGACTTGGGAACCTCTTTTTTTTTTTGGTTTTTGAGGCAAGGTTTCTCTTTGTGACTTTGGAGGCTGTCCTGGAACTAGCTCTGTAGACCAGGCTGGTTTCGAACTCACAGAGATCTGCCTGCCTCTGTCTCCCGAGTGCTGGGATTAAAGGCGTGCGCCACCACCGCCCGGCCTTCAGCACCTCTTTAAGCAGACAGAGCGTCACGTCCTCACCTGAGTCTCCATTTCAGAGGAATAACAAACACATCCTCAAGCTAAGTAAGGCTGGGGCTGGTATAGGAGTTCACGCGAGTCTTTTGGGGTCTTACGTCACTTCCTGCGGAGACTGTCTTGACCAAATGTACACATCCGCCCGTTCCGACAGTCTTTTGGATGGGAGTGAAGCAGCTTCCGGCCTTATGGAGGTCTCCACAGTCTCCTTCCGGGTTATGGAGGCGAGTGCCCCGGATGTAATACTGGCGAAAGCATCTTTCCTTTCTTTCCCCGCCTGACCCCGGGCTCCTCGGTGAGCGCCAGCCGGTAAGACTGTTCGAATCCCTGCGAATTTGCTTCCTCTCTAATTTGTGCGCCGACTCTGACATGGTCTAGCAGCTCGCTGCGTGGAACTGGGGGTCCTAAGCAACCAGGGCGCCAGCTCTTGGGTCCGACCGGCCTCTGTGGGCACTCGGGTGGGAGCTGGGGGAGCCCTGTAGCTCCGCACTGGTAGGGGAGTGGTGACGTAGGGGAGCCTGGCTTTTTTTCCTGCGTGGGAGTACGCACAGGGTCCGCGCGGGGGCGGAGATCCGCCCGTCAGGGCCTCTGAATGAATTGCCAAACCAATTCCCGACGACCCGCCTGCTAGCGCTTGAGATGGTTCAGTGACCCTTCCTCGCTCAAACGGGACCTGGCGCTTACCAAGGAAAATGTGGTGCCACAGCGCTCTCGCGGCCGGCTCTCCTTACCTAATTTTCTTACTCCGTATCCTTTTCCGAGGTCCAGCTGGAGGAAGTGTTCTGCCAGTCATGCCAAAGAGGAAAGTGACTTTTCAAGGTGTGGGAGATGAGGATGATGAAGATGAAATCAGTGTCCCCAAAAAGAAGGTGAGATGGTCAGACTCCTAATGTCTGTGGAGGACTGAGGAGAAATAAAAGGAAGGAAAGCTGAGAAGCGAAAGAAAGGGTTAGTTTGCCCCGGTGCGCTGGGTTTGGTAGGTTTTCAGTTTGGATACAGATCCTGGAATATTTGGGAAGCTCGCCAGTAGGTTGCCTTTCTCATTTGCTGGTTTCTACTCACAGCTGGTGGACCCTGTGGCTGGAGCAGGGGGTCCTGGGAGCCGCTTCAAAGGCAAACACTCTTTAGACAGTGATGAGGAGGATGATGATGATGAGGGGTCCAGCAAGTATGATATCCTGGCCTCAGAGGATGTAGAAGGTGAGCTATTCCCAAAACATTAGCTGTGTTGGAGGGCAAGTCTGATTATGGAGGTGGGAAGTGTGCCTGTCTCTTTTTTGCATGCCTAGCATGGGGCCCCCATGTCTTTGGTGCAGGTCAGGAAGCAGCTACTCTCCCTAGTGAGGGGGGTGTGAGGATCACACCCTTCAACCTGCAGGAAGAGATGGAGGAAGGCCACTTTGATGCTGATGGCAACTACTTCCTGAACCAGGATGCACAGATCCGAGACAGCTGGCTGGACAACATTGACTGGGTGTGGCCCAGGAGCTGTCCTGGCTGAGGCCTGGGAATGCAGGTGCTGGGCCTGGGCCCTGGTGGAAGTTTGTAGGAAATAATAATTATCTTTCCCTTATAGGTGAAGATCAAGGAGCGGCCACCTGATAAGCACCAGGTTTCAGACTCAGAGGAGGAAGACAGCCTGGGTCAGACTCCGATGAGTGCCCAAGCCCTCCTGGAGGGACTTTTGGAGCTGCTGTTGCCAAGAGAGACAGTGGCTGGGGCACTTAGGCGTTTGGGGGCCCGAGGAGGAGGCAAAGGGGACAGCAAGGGGACTGGACGGCCCAATTCCCCACAGCGCCTAGACCGGCTCTCTGGGTTGGCTGATCAAATGGTGGCTCGAGGCAACCTTGGTGTATACCAGGAAACAAGGGAACGATTGGCTATGCGTCTGAAGGGTTTGGGGTGTCGGACTCAGGGATCCCATGACCCCACACCTCCACCCTCCCTGGACATGTTTGCTGACGAAGTGACAGAGGGAGAACTGGAAACCCCGACCCCTGCGCATAAAGGAGGTAAGCTTTTAGGACACAGGAGAGGCAATGCCAGTGGGAGACTGGGCACTTAAGGCCGATACGTCTTTGTTGTCTTAGAAGCAGAGTCAGCGGGAGATGGTCTAATGGATGTGATGTGGGAATATAAGTGGGAGAACACGGGGGATGCTGAGCTGTATGGACCATTCACCAGTGCCCAGATGCAGGTCAGTGGCTTCCTCCTGTCTTGTCTGTCCATCCCGACTTCTGTCATCTTTCCTAAGTTTTGTCCTCTCTTCTTACAGACCTGGGTGACTGAAGGCTACTTCCCGGATGGTGTTTATTGCCGGAAGCTGGACCCTCCAGGTGGTCAGTTCTACAATTCCAAGCGCATTGATTTTGATCTCTACACGTGAACCTGCTAAGGGCCCAGTGTGGTAGCCCCTTTTTCTTGGACTTGGCAGAGGAGGCCCCAGCTGCCCTGGGCAGTGAGGATCTTGGAAGCTACTCTTCAGCCACTTTCCCTTTCCCAATAAAAGCCTTGAGTGTGCATCAGGGCCTTGATGTGCTGGTAGCCAGAAGCCAGGGCTCCTCCGTAGCTCCTGTTGGCTTACCTGGCCCTTGAGTGTCTCCTCCTTCCTTAGATGCTTCTCTCTGGTGTCTTGGACCACCTCGGTTTGTTTTCCGCCCTTGGTGGCAGTAGTAGGGCCCGTCAGGTGTCCTGTGACTTGCCATGTCAAATTCCCTTCAATCACTCTATTCTCCTATCTCCCCTGCAAGTCCTTGTTTTGCTGATCTTCAGCTTTTAGGACCTCAGATTCTCTGGCCTAGTAACCCCTTTGCAGCTGGGACATTTGGAAAAGTTTGAGATCCTATTGAGAACACTCAGGAGGCCTCTTAAACATGGGTTCTCCTCTTCTCCCTAGTCTGATTTTTCCTTCCCTTGCAGTAGCTCCCATAGCTCTTAGGTGAAGCATGAACTTAGTAGCTCTTCAAAGCTACTTGGGCCACCATGCATTATACAGGCACAGAGATGGGCAGTGACTTCCTGGAGGTCACACAGTAAATTAGAGAGCTGGCCCAGAACCAGTGAGCTGCTTCCCCTGACCTTTCTTGGCATAAAGCCTTTTCTTCCTTGGCCATTCAGGCCCTGCAGCTTAACATTTCCCAGGCTCCCACATCTCTGGCATAGGGATGGTGCCTTGAGGGAACATTGCTGGACTGGTCTTCCAGGAGCCCCAAGTGCAGTGGCAGACAGACACGTAAAAGCAGTGCCTCACTCGTACCAGTGCTGCCCTGCGCCCATGCCACCTGCACATGACGGGTACCCTGAGAGCCAGGCTAGGAACTTACATAGGGGCCCTGGCTTGGTTGGGGGTGTTTGATCAGACACCTTCAACCCAGTTTATTGCCAGCCGAGACCACAGTTTCTTTGACTTTGAGAAGCCTTTTAGTGGTAAGACATTTACTTAATGTTAGTTGTAAGGTGGTATTGGATGGACTTGCTTTCAGAAATACTTAGAAGTGAAAAGTTGGTGTCTAGAGATGAGTGAAATCCAGTCATGTCCGTAGCCTGGGTGAGTGTTCACAATGTTTGGTGAGACAGACACGGAGGACTTCCCCGAGGTGTTCTTTGGGTTCCTCAGATTTGACCCATCTAGAGCTGATCCCCCCCCACACACACACTTTCTGAGTGTACCTTACTGAGGACATCCAGGAGGGGGCAGAATATCAGTCCCTGAACCCCAGACCCTATGAATATTACTTTATGCTTTATGTGGCACAGGAAAGCACGTTGCGCAGATGTCGTGAAGTTGAGATTTTTTTTTTTCTTTTTTGAATTTTTTGAGATGGGGTCTCACTGTGATCCCTGACTGGCCTCAAACTTCCAGGAGGTTGGGATTAAAGGTGTAAGCCACAAAGCTGAGCAAAATTGAGAATTTTTGAAACTGGGAGATTACCTTTGATTGTTGGGTTGAGACCATTGTAATCACTGGGTTATGCTGGAAAAGGAACTGAGACTCCCAGCACGAGAGCACAGGACTCCATCTGAAAGATGGAAGAGAGGAGTGTGTGTCAGGGCTGCATGTAGCCAGACAAGTGCAGTGCAACAGTGATAACCCAGTGAAATCAACTTTGGACTTGTAACCTCTAGACTTATGAGCTAATAAATCTGTGTTAAGCCACTTCAGTTTGGTCATTTGATAAAGGAAATGAGTATACACCTACTCTGGGGAACAACTACCACTTTGGAGCCCCTTTAGACCTTCTCCAGAGTTCTTTGTAGTTCTCCCATCCAGGCACTAACCAGGCCCAGCCCTGCTTAGGTTGGATACAGCATTCAGGGTGGTATGACCATGGAATGTATACCCTTTTTTAAAAATACAGTTTCTCTGTGTATCCCTGGCTGGCCTGGAACTTACTGTGTAAAAAACCAGGCTGACCTCAAATCTAGAGATCTGCCTGCTTCTGCTTGGAGTTCTGGGATTAAAGGTGTGCACCACCACAACAACCCAAGTACTTACTTCCATCTTTGTTTGTATTTTGGATGGATGGTATGTTACTATTACCTAGGCTTCATATTTTATTTGGATTTTACTGGTTTTCTCCTACTGTCCTTTATTTTTTATTTTTGAATGCGATGAAAGGGATGGAACCTAGGACTTAAAAAAATTATTGAGAATTTCATACAATGCATTTTAATTATATTCATTTCCCTTGCCCAATGCCTCTCATGTCCAACCTTATTCCCTACCCACCCAAATATGAGGGTTTTGTTGGTTGTCTCCTCCCCCGCCCCCCATCAAGTCTACCTTGTGTAGCCTGGCAACTCTTGGAGTGGAATGGAATTTGCATCTGCTGGGTAAACGCTCATTCCACCACTGAGGGCTAGCCCAACCCAATTCTGGCTTTTGTCTTTTTTGGTGTGGGAGAATCATATTCAAACCTTTTTGTTAAGCAACTGCTTTACCACTGAGCTGCATCCCTAACCTTTAAAGGTTTTTTAAAAATTACGTTTATTTGTGTGTGGGTGCACTCGCACATGTCATATTGTACATGAGAAGGACAGAGGATGGGAGTCATGCCGATCCTGGGGGTTGACTGTGTTGTTTGACTTGACCGAAAATACCTTGACCGAAAACACTGACCCCTTTAAAAAATGTTTATTTCTCAGTGCCCAAGCTGTCTCGACCCCTTGACTGCTGGAGCTGTAAGTTGTGCCATGCTTTTCTTTAGCACTGTTAATTTCTTACGAAGTCCCAAGCTGGAAGCCATTTGGGAAGGTCTTGTGCTGCCTGACTCCAGCTCTGCTGCCATTTCCCCTTCATTATGTACTCGCCCCGGACCCAAACCTGGCCCCAGACACTGTTTCCCTCTTTCCCCTGTCCCCCCCCCCCATTTAAGGAAAGATTCTCGTGTTATGTTTTGAGGGTTGAGCGCACGGTTGCTGTGGGCCTGCGGTGAGGCTGAGCATCGTGGTTCAGGAGACTGCAAGAAAGTAGCTTGCCTGGCCGGGCGGTGGTGTCGGTGGCGCACACCTTTAAGCCCAGCACTCGGGTGGCAGAGGCAGGCAGATCTCTGTGAGTTCGAGGCCAGTCTGGTCTACAGAGGACAGGCTCCAAAACATTACAGAGAAACCTTGTCAAACAAAAAAAAAAAAAAGGAAAGAAAGTCGCTTGCCCGGGGAGCCCTTTCTCTCTAACTACCAGAGAAAGACCAACCCAAAGGGACTTTAACGTTGGGTAACATTACTTTAAGATGTGTTACATTCATTTATGCTGTGGAATATGTGTTTAATTATGTAAAGATGTGTTGCATTCTTTTATGTTGCATTGGTTTAACTCTGTAAAGCCATGTTACTTTGCCTAAAACACTTGATTGTTCTAATAATTGAATGGCCAATAGCTGGCCAGGAGAAAAGATATGTGGGGTGTCAGGCAGGGAGAATAAACAGGAGAAATCTAGGGAAGAGAGGGAGGAGTGAGAAGAGGAGAGGAGGACTTCAGGAGCCAGCCATCCAGCAACACAGCCAGCCACAGACTAAGAAGGAAAGAAAGATATTTAGAATAAAGAAAGGTAAAAAGCCCAGAGGCAAAACATAGTTGAAGAGAAACAGGATAAATTAAGTTAGAAAAGCTGGCTAGAAACAAGCCAAGCTAAGGCCAGGCATTCATAAGTAAGAATAAGTCTTAATGTATTTGTTTGGTAACTAGGTTGCTGGCACCCCAAGAATTAAAAGACAAAAACAGCTGCAGACTTAGCTCTGGGCTTCCTAGGTTCCCACTCCTCACTTGATAGCTTGGTAGTTGTTTCTTCCACTGGGTCTGTAACTCAGATGTGTGATTCATCACCTAAGCCACCTTTCCCACAGTGTCTCCACTAGTTAGCCTTAGAGAGAGGCAGAGGTGCTGATGACAGGACATGAGCCAGCTTTTCCTTGTCCCTGTTTCCAGAGGCAGCCCTCTCTAGGCAGACCAAAGTGAGGATGAATGGTTAGGTGTGGCTCATGCCTGTAATTCCAGCCCTTGTGAGGCTGAGGCAGGAGGATCAGAAGCTGTAGTTCTTGTGGGGCTGTTTCTTTTGCTAACTAAGAAGGTTAGGATTAGTTTGGATGATGGCATATAGATGTCTGAACCCAGAGGGTACTGGTGGGTGTTTAGTCAGTGTTTTCCTTGCTGTGATAAAACATGACCTAAACCAGGCCGTGGTGGCACACACCTTTAATCCCTGCATTCAGGATGCAGAATCAGATAGGTCTCTGAGTGCCTGGTCTACAGAGCAAGTTCCAAGACAGCCAGGGCTACACAGAGAAGCCCTATCTCGAAAAAAACATAACAAAAAACAACAAGAAGACATCATGACCAAGCAACTTCTGGAGGAAAAGGTTTTTTTCATTGTTTATCTCTTCCCTCCATCACTGAGGGATGTTAGGGCAGGAACCAGGAGGCAGGAGCTGAAGCAGAGGCCATGGAGGAGTGCTGCTTACTAGCTTGCTCTCCTTAGCTTGCTAAGGCTGCTTTCTTATGGCATCTAGGACCTCCAGCCCAGGGGTGGTATGGCCCTACAGTGAGCTTGGCCCTTCCTGTCAATCAATCAAGAAAATGCACTACAGACTTGCCTACCTGTATATCTGATTGCAGCATCTTCTCAGCTGGGAGCTCCTCTTCCTAAGGCACATTTCCATGTGTTGAGGTGATACAAAGCTAACATAATGAGTAAAACTTACTCCAGGGAGTGTGTAGTTCATGAGCAAATTTGCAAGAAAGGCTTAAGGTCAAAGCTGTAGGTACACAATAACATTGAATACACCTGACTCAACGGCTGCTACTTTAACAAGAGCCAGGTGAGGCATGAGGTCTGAATCCTCTGGGTGAGATCCAGGGTGTTGGATTCTGTCCTGGAATCTGGGAAACTCATGGAGACAAGGAATAGAGTGGAGGTGTCCAAAAGTGGCTAAAATAAACGGAATGGGGTGTAGTGGGCCATACCTGTGATTCCAGCACTCAGAGACTGAGACAGATTGTCAAGTTTCAGGAAAGCCTGAGCGATATAGCCCCCAAGTCAAACAACCAAGTGTGGTGGCCCATGCTTGCAATCCCAGCACTTGGGAGGTGGAGGCAGGAGGATCATGTATTCAAATCATCCTTCGTTTATGTAGCAAGTTTAAGGCTAGCCTAGGCTACATGAGATCTGTCTAAACACCCCCCCCCAAAAAAAAACTAAGCAAAAATGGTTTTGTTCTACAAGCCAAGCAGGTTGGAGGGGTCTTAATGCCAATGTCTTTGATACAGGCACCACTCCTTCCCACATCAGCCATCTGCTGGGTTTTGGTTTATTGTATATGTGTGTGGGGGGGGAAGGGTTGGAGGGGTCTTAATGCCAATGTCTTTGATACAGGCACCACTCCTTCCCACGTCAGCCATCTGCTGGGTTTTGGTTTATTGTATATGTGTGTGTGTGGGGGGGAAGGGTTGTTGTTTAAGATCTTACTTGTTTTCATGTGTATGCATGTTTGCCTG